TATTTTACAGACTTTCACAAAGTGACTAACTCATCTTTATACAAAAGTACTCTAAGTCAGATTTTGAAGACAATATTTCACTCCCTAATAGATTGGTAATAACCTCTATCCACCAGGATCATTGCCAACAGTTTGTCACTGTTGATTACCTGAAAACCAATGAATTGCTAAGTTAAAAAGGAGAAAGGAGAAAAACAATTGAGGAAAGGTGACAATTCAAGATTTACCAAAAAATTCAAAAATAAAAATAACCTTTTTTCAAAAGGAATTTGCCTGATTGGAATAGTCTTCTTGCTTCACTTGAATCTTGGAAGAAATCTTCTTTTTCATCACCTGTGGCATCAGATAAGTCAATCCAACTGATCTTTCATTTAAATAAGCACCAGATTGGGATATCTCAAGAAAAGCATTTAGATCTTAGCTTTTTTCCATTAAAGCTTTGTCACCACTTAAGAAACTTAGATAAGAAATGGAAGTTTACAATTCATATTATCCATCATTTGGTCTTTTGGTATCATGAAAGTTTTCATTAAGGGATTTGAGATTTTTGGAAACAACTATTTTCAGAACCTTCTTTTCAATCATCACTGACGTCATCAGAACATGTAAATGTGACCAATAGGAGCTTGTTTAAATTTCAAAAACTAACGTGTTTTGTGTTAATCAATCACCTTTAATGAGAATTTGTGCTACCAAAAATTCAGGGTCAAACTGAGATAGGCAAAATTTCCCAGAAACTATAAAAGCAATAGCTCTAAAAGACTTACAAGTAACTAGAAGGGGAAAAATAAGTCATTCTGTCATTAAAAACCTTTATATACTTCTTGCTTTAAAGATTAAATAGGCCTTCAAATCTTCACAATCAGTTCTTCTTTCTTTAAGAACTTTCTTGTCATTGGTATCAAAGGTGTTACTTGACTTTTCTTGGTCACTAGAAGTCAAGTTTTTGAGTGAAGAGATTTATAAACAAAAAGAAAAGGGTAGAGACAACTCTTGAAATCATACTTCAAGTTGTTTTAATGAAAGTATTAAGACTTTATTAGTAAAGAAGTATAAAAACTTCTTATGAATGTCTTTTTTGTGTATGATCAGAGAATCAGTGGAAACAAAAATTAATATTATATATAATAAATTTAATAAAGTATATATGATTAATTTGATAGAAAGTTTTTAAAAAAAATAATATTTTTTGAATTTTATAAATTTTATTTGTTAAAAAAGAATATAAGTAATTTGTAAAATTTTATATATTAATATTTTAAAAATTTATTATTATCTATAGATCATTGTTATAAATTATTTAAAACTTTATTTATAGCTTAAGATTTTAAATATTTAATTTATAACAAATCTATTTTTCAATAATTTTTAAATATTCTTTTTATTTTTCTTTATAAATTTTTTTTGATCTTAGTTCTCTAATATAATTGACAAATAATAAGTTAACTATTATGTGATAATCAATATATTATTGTAAATATTTATTTAATGTCTTAATAAAAATATATTATGATAATATAAATCTATAATATAGTAATAATCTATAAATAATAATGTTTATAATTAAAAATATATTATTTATTTGAACTATAAATAAAATAACAGATTACTTTTAAAGTTATACTTAAAGCCATAAATTGATAAAAATAAATAGTTATGGATTAACTTTAATATCTTATATTTAATATATATATATTTTTTCAACTTGTTAAAAAATATTTGTAATTTTTAAAAATAATTATTTGAATTTTAAAAAAAAACTTTTAGAAATTTGTTATAACCTTTTGTCTCGGCACTACACAATATATTTTATGCCCGTAAGTCTAATATTTTAATTGTCACGTGGTTTTTTTGATTACTATATATTGTTTCTTTTGAACCATTTTTTTTTATTGAAGGAATAAATTGGTTACTGCATGTTTATTTTAAAAAGAAATTACATGTCGAACGAATTTAGCTAATCTATGAATGACTTTTTTTTTTTTTTAATTAAACCATTTGCCATTTTAAAATCTCGATAATATAGTTTAACCATATTTGGTTAAGATATGTATTGGTAGTAAGGTGTCGAATTCCGTAGGAAAACGTTACATGTGAACTTTAGATCGCGCCAAGAAATATACGTGAAGTGCAATCTATCTTTTTTTCTGATGGATTTTTTTCTATTTTCGTGCTTTTTGAAGTGTATCTAGTTTTAATTTTCCGAAGTCAAAGGGTAATACCCAAGCGAATGAATTGTACAGTATATAATAAGCGTACGGTTGTAGAAGTTTGTCAGGTCCTGGGGCTTGCGGATATTTATTATTCAAATTTTATTTCAGTGTTAACGATGCCTATATTATATGCAGTATATTCATTCACGCTTTCTGATCACATGTCAAGCTTTCGTACAAGTTCGCGTCGGGAGTTCGCGATGGTTTTTTTATTTAAGTGTCGGAATGCATTGCGGTTATGGGTTTGTAGGCGTGATACATTCCGCATTTAGTAATGACGTCATATAATTTTTCTTTAGATTTCAAAAATAAACCTGGAGCTGTTTTCTAGTTCTCGGGTCACTTTTCTGAAAGAAGCTTGTACAAAGTAAGTTTAAGGTCTAAGTATAGAATAAAAATTTTTTTTTTTTTTTTTTTTTGATCTTATGTACACTATTGTTAAAGTCCTCTATATTTATTTTTTTTTATTTTTTTTTTAATTTACCTAGTCGGGTTTTTAGATTCTTTGGAAAAATGACGACCGCATCTTCCTTAGTTTCACCCGCAATAGTTGCCCAACTAAACCAAGTTTTGTCAGACTTGATTTCTAATGACAACGATCGTCGTTCTGGAGCGGAAAAGCAATTGAATGAACAATGGATCGCGCAACAACCTGATTTACTACTTCTTTCTTTATCACAGCTCGGAGGGACTCACCAGGAAAACCACGTGAGAATAATTTCAAAAGTCTTAAGTGAAAATATGAAATAGAAATTGTGCGCGTCTAATCTCGGCATTTGGTGTTGGGATATAGGGACGTTCATTTTCTTTTGTATTGCTGCGGAGGATCTCATTTAAGCAGGCTCCAAATCAAGAAGCTTCTATATGGGATCTTTTACAAGAGCAAAGTAGGCAAGCAATCAAGAACGATTTGTTAATGTCCTTGTCAGTAGAGCGGGAGAACACAGTGCGTCATAAAGTATGCGATGCAGTATCAGAAATAGTTAAAAATTCACACTTAAAAGGACGAGGTATCTTTTATAGTTTATATTTAAAATCATTATCATAACTTTAGGATTAAACATCATTACGCATATTTTTTCTCTAGAAAAGTGGGTTGAACTTCTTCCTGCCCTTTTTGAAGCTAGCAAATCCCGTTCTGCTGAACATCGGGAGGCCGCTTTACGCATATTTTCCGCCGTCCCTAACCTAATCACGGATCAACCAGTAGATTCCATAAAGCAAATCTTCTCGGCAAATTTACAAGATGCTGATAATTCGGCTGTATGTTTAATTAAGTTACACCAAATTCTTAATTGTTTCTAACTATTCTTGCGATTTTAGATTCGTATGTCTGCTCTCAAAGCTGCAGTTGCTTTTATGTTAGAGACTGATCAGCAAAATCGAAATTCTTTTTCTGAGCTGATGCCACAAATGCTTTCTGTATGTTCACCACAATAACTTAATTTACATTTATTTTATGGACATGTTTTTGAATATTGATCAAAGCTTGATTCGTGTAAATATAGGTTTTATCCCCACTTGTATCTCAACGTGATGAGGACGGTTTGGTTGATGGCATCATGGTTTTTATAGAGCTCGGAGAGAACCTCCCCCGTGTATTTAGACCAGTTCTCCCCATATTAATGCCTTTTGCTCTCGGCATTATTAAGGATAATACTTTCGAAGATGGTACACGCCAAACAGCCCTTGAACTTTTGCTCACCTTATCGGAGACTTCTCCATCGATGATGCGTAAAGTTCCTGATTTTTGTTCTCAGATTATTCCTATCTCCCTAAAAATGATGACTGAATTGGAGGACACTGAAGAGTGGTATACGACGGATGATGTGAATATACTCCAGTACAATTAATATCTCTTTGATTGAGAATAAGATGTTAATATTACGATGCTCATCTTATTAGTTAGAAGACTATGATAATGACGAAAATTATGTAATTGGTGAACATGCAATGGATAGACTGGCCCGTAATCTTGGTAATGCAGGGTATAATATAAGTGTTACAACGGTTAGTTATCATCTAAACAATAACATGACCTTCTAATTATTATCATGTAGGCGGAAAAGCAGTACTTCCTATCGCTTTTAATTACATTCCTTCCATGTTAGGTTCTGGAAAATGGGAAGAGCGACATGCTGCTCTTATGGCGATTTCAGCTATAGGTGAAGGTTGCGTCAAAATTATGGAGCCTGAGCTAGGAAAGATAATTGAGTAAGTGAATGACCATGTCAAATGATTAAACGATTATTTTAAAATATTAATGACTTTTTTATTGCCATAAAGTCTGGTTTTACCGTACCTCAGGGACCCTCATCCTAGGGTTAGGTACGCCGCATGCAATGCCATTGGTCAAATGTCCACTGACTTTCAAGATTCCCTTCAAAAGAAGTTTCATCATCCGGTGCTCACAAATTTGATTCCAGTTATGGACGCTTCTGAATCAAGGTATATGGGTTAGCTTTTTAAAGGACTTTGATTGTTGAAAGTATTTTTCACGAAACTTGCCGGTTGTAGGGTCCAAGCTCATGCTGCCGCTGCTCTAGTCAACTTTTGCGAGGCAGCGGACAAGTCCATTCTTGAACCTTATTTGGATACTATTTTTGATAGACTTCTTGTTCTTCTCAACTCTGGAAGAACATATGTTCAGGAACAAGCCATAACATCAATAGCTACTGTCGCTGATAGTGCAGAAGATCGGTTTGTCAAGGTGATAACTGTTTTTTCGCTTTGATTTACAGGCAAGGCTTACTTATTTTTCTCTAATGTTGTATAGTATTATAGTGCAATTATGCCTTTGCTAATAAATGTATTGAGAAACGCTCACCAAAAGGAATATCGACTTTTACGCGGGAAAGCGATGGAGTGTGCAAGTCTTATTGGTAAATTTTTTTTTTTTTCTTTTTTTAGTTGCACCCAATTAATTGTATATTAGGGGATACTAATGTTATATTTGGAACGATAGCTTTGGCCGTTGGAAAAGAAATTTTTGCTTCAAATGCTCAGGAATTTATTCAATTACTGGATCAAACTCAACGTAAATATCATCGAGTTTCCTTCCATTTGGTGGATGATTCATCTAATATTATGTCAATTATTTTCAGAATCTGTCACAGAACCTGATGATCCCCAAACCTCTTATCTTATTGCATCTTGGGCTAGAATATGTAAGGTGCTCGGTGCCGACTTTGTACCATATCTCCCGATCGTCATGCCGCCTCTTTTACAATCCGCGCAACTTAAACCAGATTTCGCTATTTTGGATCGTTAGTACATTTATTTTCTTCCAATATTAATGCTCTTGCGTTATCGAAGATAATAATTTAATTAATTCTTTAGCTAACGATGATATTGAATCAAAATATTCACCCGAGGACGGCTGGGAGTTTGTGGGCGTGGAGGGCCAGGTAATGATCATTTCTACTTATAAAGTGTCTATTTTATTTTTATGATTTTAAGAGCTTCCCTATTGAACCTTAGCAAATTGGAATAAAAACAACTGTCATAGAAGAGAAGTGTACAGCTGTAGAAATGCTTATCTGTTATGCACGGGAACTCGGTCCTGCCTTCCATCCTTATGTTGAAAATGTTTTGGAAATTGTGTTGCCTCTATTAAAATTTTATTTTCACGATGGAGTGCGGAACGCGGCAGCTGCCACAATTCCACACCTTCTTAATTCTGTCAAAAAAGCAAACGCCAATCCAGAGTATCTTTTGAATATGTGGCATTCAATAGCAAATAGAGTAATCGAAGTCATTATGAAAGAAGCCGATCCCGGATTTTTATGGCAGCTTTATGTCACCTTTCACGAATCATTAGAGATTGTCGGTGACAACAGCCTCGAGGCTTCCCATTTGGAAGCATTCACCAAAGCTACGGAAGCCCAACTACAGGAGTTTTATTCTAGATTAAAGCAACGTGAGCAAGCTCGACACAGCGGAGATATAGATGCTGAAGATGAAGATGTCATCAATGAAGAGGAAGCGACAGAAGAGGGTGTTCTGGGCGAACTATCAAAGGCCTTACATGTTATCCTCAAAACTCACAGGACTTCGTATCTCCCCTCATTTGATAAATTATTACCAATCGTCACAACATTCTTAGCCGACGCTAATCCTGCTGCTCGGCAATGGGCTTTATGTGTTCTTGATGATGTAATAGAATTTACGGGCCCGGCATCATGGAATTATAATTCCCATTTCTTAGAGAAAATGATAGCTTCTTTGATGGATATAGGTTTGCTTTAACCATTTCAGTAATTTGGCGCAAATCATAAATCTTGTAAATAACTAATGTTTTCTTATGCAACCCGTTTAGCCTCAGATGTTAGGCAAGCTGCCGCGTATGGTATTGGTGTGTGCGCACAGTTTGGTGGGGATAATTATTCAGAAGCTGTTGCGGGTATGAATTATGATTTCTGATTACGTAGAGATGTCTTCGATATTTGGAATTAAATTATCATCTTTATATTTATAGCTGCATTGACCCCTTTATTTCAAATGATAAGTTCCGAGGGTTCACGAAAAGATGAAAATGTGTACGCAACAGAGAATGCCATTTCGGCAATAACCAAAATTCTAAAATTTAGTAATAAAAATTTCGATGTTAATTCGGTTTTACCATCATGGTTCTCCGCTCTACCTATTCTTAATGACGAAGAAGAAGCATCTCTTACATATACATATTTATTGGATTTGTTAGAAACGTGAGTTAAACCTTCTAGCTTTATAACTGCTATTGATAATTCTTATAAAAACTCACATTTTTATATTTCAGTCAACATCCCGCCATTCTCGGTAACAATAATGAAAATATACCTCGAATTATAAATATTTTTGTTGAGGTGCTTGCTCTTGATATTTTGCCAGAACTTGTGGCCTCAAGAATGGCAAACGCGTTGAATGTTGTGCTTGGTGGTCTTCCAGATGAGGTCCGAGCATCATTATGGGATTCGATTGATCCAGATAAGCGTAAGGCTTTACAGGTAAGATAACTGCAAGCAAAAAGAATTATTGAATTATTGAAATATTGAAATATGGTTAATTATCTAAGCCGATCCCTTTTTTAAATAAGGATATGAAATATATTTAACGGGCATAACGAACTCTACATATATCTTACTTTTTTTTTTTTTTTGAATTAACCGTCTATCTATTACACATGTATTTCCTTTTATCATGAATTTAATGTTAAATTTATAGATTAGCTTGTAAGTATTAGATTACAAAATTATTGGATTTTTCTTGTTACCAAAAATATAGCAGTATCATATTTTTTTTTTTTTTTGCTATGTACACAAGGGCATTTTTTGTTCAATTACGGATCTTGTCAAAGTTTCTCTTCCATATATTAACCATGTAGTAGTATTAGAGGAATTGGTGTGTATAAAATTTGACAACCTATAATAAAATATTTCGCAAATAAATTTATTATTATTGTTATTTTTTTTTTTTTTTATATACAGTATACTGTATATTATAATTTTTAATTTTTAATTTCATATTTGTATATAAAAAAATAAATAAATAATTTTTGAAAGAGATGTTCGCAAAATATTTGTCACCTTCTTAACTAATAAAATCAATACTTTTCTTCAAATAATTGACCATTTTTAAAATTTGTATTTTTATTTACAATTTCCTTTAAATAACAATATAACTTTTGACAATTAAAAAAAATTAAGTAATATCTTTTATATCAATATACTAGTTGAAAAAAATTTATTTGACATATTGTTACTCATGTAACATTTAGCAAAAAATAAATAATTTGGCAAATTAATGATATAAATAAATTGGCAACTATATAATTATTCAGTTATAAATATTACAAAAATTGATGTATTCATAATTTAATAATAATTTATCAAAAAATTCATTAACAATTTGTCAAATAATTCATTAAAAGTTATTAAAAATTTATCAAAAAATACAATTTATCAAAAATTTGATAATAAATTATTAATAATTCATTAATTAACTATTCATTAAAACTATTCATTAAAAATTTAATAGTTATTTATTAATACTATTTATTAAAAATTCATTAACTATTTATTAAAACTATTAATTAAAAATTTAACAATTATTTATTAATAATAAAACAAAAAAATTAATAAACTTGTATATGAATTTTTTTGAATTAAAGTTATACTAATAAATTATAAACAATATAAACTATAATATAATATAGATCTATAGATCAATAGTATAGTAAATATACTCCTAGGTCACCATCTATAAGTTATTAATTTAATTCTATTCATGAATAGTTTTTATAATATAGATTATATTGTATAAAATATATACTTATCAGCCACATACATTTTTATATACTTCAGATCTATTAGATATCACTATTTGATTATAGTATAATAAATTAGGTCATATATATCCTGATCAGTTTTAGTACTAGGATAAGAAATTATGATGCTTTCATTATCTGGAATATATAAAGCTATTGAAATAATACTAATTATCTTAAGATCCTACCAGTCTAACATAGAATTCACTTCTTCTCAAATTACTATATTCATAAGAGATATTGAGAGACTTTGATCATCTATACTAGCTACCAAATTTATCAAAGGAATAGACTTTGATTAACTTGTGAGTGTAATAAAGCTAAGTAATTATAATAAAAACTGTAAGTATGAATATGTTTGAAAAAGATATAAGGTCTTGTTTAATTAAAAAATTTCTTATAAGTCATCTTTAAAAAATGATTAAGAATGTTCACTTGAAAGATTTAAGTCACTATAAGATTTATCAATAATTATCAGAAGTTTTACTTAGATCATATAAAGATTGTGACTATCAAATAATCTAGTTTTTAAAGAAATCAAACATAACAAATATATTATACAGATTTAAATATACTTTATGCTTAAGTAAAAAACAATAACATACTAAGAAATATATAACAAGTCTCTTAAAATAAAATAATGATAGTTTTTAGTAGTTTCTTAAAATGCTAGTTGTCTGGACATAGCAAAACAATTGACAAAAATAATACTTATATATAGTAAAATTAGAATAAATTGAATTATATAGGAAAGTATAATTAAAATAGTTATAAGTATAGCCTCTTGTAAACTAATCTGTTCTCTCTAATTCTATATCAATAAATTCCAGTTTGTATGACTAATTAAAATAATAATAATAATAATAATATTTTTTTTTATTTTTTAATCTGCAATTATATCATGATGGCTTGTCTTTATTGAAAAATTAAAATAAATGTATAATAATTTACAGACTTTCATGAAGTAACTAACTCATCTTTATATATAAATACTTTAAGTCAGATTTTGGAAACAATATTAAATTCTCCTGATAGATTGATAATGACCTTTATCTATTAAGATTATTATCAATAGTTTGCACTATTGATTACCTGAAAATCAATGAATTGCTAAATTAAAAAGAGGAAAAGGAAAAATGATAGAGAAAAGAAAACAATTTAAGACCTATCAAAAAAATCCAAAAATAAAAACAATCTCTTTTTAAAAGAAATCTGTCTAATTGGAATAGTCTTTTTGCTTTACTTGAACCTTAAAAGAAATCTTCTATTTTACTACCTATAATATCAGATGAGTCAATCCAACTAGTCTCTTATTTAAGTAAACATCAGATTGGAATATCTCAAGAAAAGTATTTAAACCTTAACTTTTTTTTATTAAAACTTTATCACTACTTGAGAAATTTAGGTAAGAGATAGGAGTTTGCAATCCATATTATCTATCACTTAATCTTTAGTATCATGAAAGTTTTTATTAAGGAACTTGAACTTTCTGAAAAAAATGTTTCTAGAACCTTTTTTTCAATTACCAATAATATTATCAGAATATGTAATGTGATCAATAAGAGCTTATTTATATTTCAAAAAGAATGTGTTTGTGTTTACCAATCATCTTTGAGAATTTGTGTTATCCAAAATTCAGAGTCAAACTGAAATAGATTAAATTTACTAGAAAATTATGAAAGTGAAAGCTTTAAAAAGATCAAGACAATTAAAAAGGAAGAAAATAAGCTTTTTTATTACAGAAAATCTCTATAAAACTCTCATTTTAAAGATTAGATAGACCTTCAAATACTTCATGGTCAGTTCTTCTTTTTTTGAGAACTTTTTTGCCATTAGTATCAAAAGTATTACTTGATTTTTCTTGGTTATTAGAAGTTAAGTTTTTGAGTAAAAAGATTTGTAAATAAAGAAAAAGGATGGATGTGACTCTTAAAGTCATATTTCAAGTTATTTTAAAAAAATATTAAGACTTTATTAGCAAAGAAGTATAAATACTTCTTGTAAACATCATTTTTATGTATAATCAAAGAATTAATGAAAAGAGTTTTTATATATCTATTTAATAATAATAATAATTTTTTTTTTTTAAATCTACAATAATATTACTTTGATATATCTTTATTGAAATACTAAAAAATAATAAAATATTTTATAAACTTTCACAAAGTGACTAACTCATTATTATATATTATTAATTAAAAGACTATACTACTTAAAAAATATGAGAAGTCTACTAAGCTAGTCTGGACCAAACAAAATTAAGTCTAAACTAAATACTTTAAATCAAATTTAGGAAACAATATTATACTTTTCTAGTAGCTTGGCATAGTACCTCTAAATCAATCAGAGGCATTGCTAATAGTTTGTCACTATTAATTATTTTAAAAAATGATAAATAATTAAAGTATAACACTGGAAAAAAGAAAAATACAATTCAAAGCTCTCCAAAAGGTTCTTATTTTATTTCATAGTTTCTTTTCAAAAGGAATTTGCTTGATTGAGATATCCTTTAAGCTTCATGATATTTAAGAAACTTAATTATTTCTAAAGGTGATTTCAAGAAGAATGTTTAAGAAACTTATCCTTCTGCTAATATATAGATTTACTTAATATTATTGGAGCTAGCATCATTTTATGGAAGAGTTTGCCTGACTGAAATAAAAAATTTTTTTCAAAAACTTTGTCTAACTGGAATAAAAGCTTGAAAATCTTGGCTTTTGTTCAAAAAAGTTTTTTTACTATTTGAAGAACTTATGAAAGATGGAAGTTAAATCTATTTACTTATCCATTGCTTGTCTTTCAGTATCATAATTGTTTTTTGAAGATCAAATATATTCAATTAAAGGAACACTTTTTCTAGAACTTTTTTTTCTATATTATCAATTATGTAATAAAATATGTGAATGTAACCAATAGGAGTTTGTTTACATTTCAAAAACTGGTATGTTTTTTATTAGTCAATTATTTTTAATAAGGATTTGTACTATTCAAAATCTAGAATAAAATTGAAATAGGCAAAATTTCTCAAAAAACTATAAAAGTAGAAGTTCTAAGATGGCCAAAACAGTTCAAAAGAGAGGAAATAGAAGTTTGTTTACATTTCAAAAATTGATATGTTTCATATTAGCCAATTACCTTTAATAAGGATTTGTACTATTCAAAATTTAAGATCAAATTGAAATAAGCAAAATTTCTCAAAAAACCATAAAAGTAGAAGTTCTAAAAAGGCCAAAACAGTTTAAAAGAGAGAAAATAAGTCTTTTAACTATAAAAAATCTTTATAAATCTTTCATTTCAAAGGTTAGAAAAACCTTCAGATACTTTATAATTAGTTCTTCTTTCTTTGAGAATTTTTTGCTATTGATATCAAAAATGTTACTTGACTTTTCTTAATTATTAGGAGTCAAGTTTTTAAGTGAAGAGATTTGTAAATAATAAGGAAAGAGTAATAATAACTCTTGAAATAATACTTCAAGTTGTTTTAAGGAAAGTATTTAGACTTTATTAGAAAATATATAAAAACTTCTTGCAAACATCTTTTTTATATGTAATTAGAGGATTAGCAGAAAGAGTTTTTGTATATTCAATAATAATAATAATATATATATATATTTTATTTAACTCACAGTCAGGTCAGTATAGCTTGTCTTTATTATATATACAGTATAATAGATATTTACAAATTGTTTT